GTTAACATCTGCCATGTTTTTTATATATACTAGTGGTCGCCCGGTAGTCGAAATTCGACTATAATTAATTGAAATTGTAAATTTGTACACTATTATGATTCAATTTTCAAAGACTATTATACTTTTATAATCACAAATTTCGCCAAGACTACACTATAGAAAAATATTAATAAAGACAAACAATATTTAATCTATTCTCACCACCGACGTCAAGAATTATTGATTTAATGTATTTTTAGGCATAATTTTTTAAAATATTAACATTTTGCACTCCTTCTCTATATTCTTATAAGTGTGGGAAATTTCATACTGCTCCGTTTGCGCAATTTTCGTAAAAAAAAAAATATACAAAGTTTTTCCTTCACGTATTAATATATAGATTAGACAAAGCAATGAATTTGTTCATTATAATCACGTGTTAGATTTGCTTCCTCAGTAGACTTTACTGGTGTTTATCTACAGAATCAATCAAATTAAAAGTAATGCATTTTTACGCTTCGAATATTAATTCAAAGAATAATAAGCAACTTTTCGAATACATTTATAATTTCAACATCGTCTCGTGTGATATGCGTCTATCTCGTTGAGATTTCTATGTGTGATACTTAAAATAAATAAATAAAAACAACTCTTTGAAGTCGTCGTGGCCTAAAGGATAAGACGTCCGGTGCATTCGTGTTGAGCGATACACCGATGTTCGAATCTCAGGCTGGTACCAATTTTTCCAATGTAACGCGTACTCAACAAATGTTCATGATTAACTTCCACGGTGAAGGAATAACATCGTGTAATAAAAATCAAACCCACAAAATTATAATTTACGTAACTACTGGTGGAACCTCTTATGTGTCTGCGCGGGTAGGTACCACTAAACTGCCTATTTCTGCTGTGAAGCAGTAATGCGTTTCGGTTTGAAGGGTGGGGCAGCCGTTGTAACTATACTTGAGACCTTGGAACTTATATCTCAAGGTGGGTGGCGCATTTACGTTGTAGATATCTATGAGCTTCAGTAACCACTTAACACCAGATGGGCTGTGAGCTCGTCCACCCAATAAGCAATAAAAAAAAACTTGACGTGGACTGTCTGCATACGCTAATTAAAAGCTTAGGTTATAATTATAAAGAAACCTGTTGTCGCTTTAGCTACAGCGTTTCACGTTACGCTCAAAAATAAATGCTATCGTGGAAATGCAATATCCCAAAAACAAGACCACATAAGCTTCCTTTAAGGACCATATTGAATATGGTTTGATCCGGTACTGGGCAGAAGCTTGACATTTCAAGCGTTCGAATTCAGCGAACGTTCTTACAGTTTTATCGATCAATCCACTGGCCACAATGTGATACATGAATCTGTTGAAAGGCTTTAACAATACCGAACCACGCCGAAAGAAAAACGTCCTTAAAATCGCAACAAAAGGCACCGACAGCTTGTACAATTCCAATTCGCATTCTTTATTCCTGAATTCCGAATTATAAAGAACGAAGAATGTATTTGAAATTAATGTATACAACTTTTCATCGCTGTTCTTTACCATCAACAAGCATTCCATTCTGCCTCCACAATCGTGTCTACTTCTATTGTAATTCTCGTTTGGCCAAGCCGAATGCACCACTAATTCGTAATTATTAATCACGTTGTCTATGTTTTTCTCTTCGTAGCCTCGCTTAGGATTAGTACTCAAACTGTACAAATATGATTGAATTATATTTGGTCCGATCAATATTAGTAATAACAAATTCAACATCACAAGCCTATGCTTGAAGCTCGTCTTGACGATTTTCGAAAAACTTCTATTGGTAATGTAGCCAACGAGTATGAAAAAATTACGTCCATACTCTTTATTCGTCGTCGTGAAAATAGAAAAAAATGTTATAACTAAATAAATAACAATGATCAGTAAAATGAAAAATTGAGATACCGAAGCAGTCAGAATGAATAAAGCGTGCCACTGACTCAAGTATCGTTGACGATGCACAACTGCAACCAAATGATCGATGTACAATGGATAGCTATATGAAAAAACAGTGGCTGCTTTAAGAGCGATTGAGAAACCTCCAAACGTTAATTCTGCATCACTGTCTTCGACGTCTTCAAGCAGCTCGTCGAAGGATCTATTTCCGAACTGTATAACTTCGATGTCCAATCCGTAGCTTTCTTGAAACATCTCGAGAATAAAAGTCTCAGTTCCGGATTGATTACGATAAGTCACGAAAGGACGTACAGGTATTGTGATGGCCTGAAACTTACAGCCTCGAATTGTTGTTTTCATGTGAGGCACAATGGTCTTCGTTTTTGGACATGTAGAACATAGGCATCGGAGAATTAAGGTCTCGGATCTGTTGCAAACGCTGAAGTTAGTGCGAAACGAATGTACTCCATAGCTATCTCCGGCTTTGGTTATAACTGTTGCATTGAAAATATTGTTTCTTAGTAATATTTTTCCAAGATCTTGCAGATTAGATTTTATATTCTTGATAACGATGATAAATTTTCCAAATGGATTCCAAAAATAATCATATATCGCCTCACCGATTCCTTTTTCGAATTCTTGGAAATTTTCAACCGCCACTATGTATGCGTTGGTGTATAATGTAATTGTTTTCGAGAAAAACGTACGAGTTTTAAACTTCAAATTTCGTATTCCATGTAATTCAGACATACGTAAGATATCTTTAGGATCTATTACAGTAATATCTAAACTATCATTAAAATATTGAAGTACATTCGCAACGCAAGAAGTTAATTCCTGATTTTCGGTATCTTCATGGTGCTGAACTTTACATTTCGAAATTCGGATAACAAATAGAAAAACAACTAATACTGCTTTGAGACGACCGTTCATGATTGCTGAACTATGAAATTTGAATCGAAATTGACTTAAATGTAATGCTTTTAACCGGCTTTATGTACGCCTATTAAATCGTGTGAACAATTTACTTTATCGTTAATCATTTCTGCTATTCAGAAACTAATAGAAAAACAACATTAACTTATTGACGTACATTGTATTTTTAATACATTAATAGATTTTGTGACAGAGCTATTAGCTCTATAGGATTTTAGTGATAAATTATGTCTAAAATGATGTCTAAAATGTCTAATGATAAAATTGCTTATTACTTAGACTTTGATATTTCCTGTATGAAAACAAAAATTAATTGTATGCAAACTGTCATAAATATTCCATTCGAAATTATCGTAGAGCTAATTATTGCGAATTGTTTATTATCAAATGTTTTAAACTTTAGCGGCTTTCATCATGGGGCTTGTAAAAGCTGTTTAGTAGACAGCGGTTTGGCTCTGCCCCTGGCATTGCTGAAGTCCATGGGCGACGGTAACCACTCACCATCAGGTGGGCCGTATCGTCTGCCTACAAGGGCAATAAAAAAAACTCCGAAATGTCGGCCAAATACTAAACGTGAAAATAGCGGTCAGAACCCGTTAAATAATGTATTAAGAATTTCTAAGTCAATGTGAAGGGTTAGAGTTATAAAAGGTTTTATATACAGGTGTAGAAAAAAATATACTTGTTAGTTCGCTTCATCAAAAGTCCCCAGAAATAGAGGGCTCGTTAGGTATCGTACGCTTTTTAGCCGATTTTATTTTTACTAGTGGTCCCGCAGTAGTCGAAATTCGACTATAATTAATTGAAATTATAATTTAATTTATGTTTAAACATTACTATGGTTCTATTGTCAAACACTAATTACTATATTCTTTAGTATAATCACAGATTTTGTCTGAATAATATTAAAGACAAACAACATTAATCTATTCTCAATTTGACACCAGACTTTAAACAATAATAAAAGTTTGACAATTCACAATAAACAAAGAGTATATTTATAAGTATGTGTTGTGTCAAATACATGGTAGTGTTTGTAATACATTTTTATTGATTTAATGTATTTTTTAAACATAATTTGAAAGGAATATTAGCATTCTACACTCCTTCTCTATATTCTCTATAAGTGTGGCAAATTTCATACTCCTCCGTCCAGGCAATTTTCGTAAAAAGGGGTACAGAGTTTTTGCTTCACGTATTAATATATAGATAATTTTCTAATTAGCTCACATTAAGGTCATTTTGAGGTATTTTTACAATTTGCGGCGTGTTTTTAAAATAGTAACTAGGAAGACAAATCAAACTAGGATTCCCTGTACTGTAGGAACTAGAGACTGATGAGTATATTTATATACGTTTAAATAAATATATAGATAGGCATTTAACACCTAGACATAGAGTAAAGAAACCTGTTCATGACACGAGTGTTTGACCGATGTGGGAATCGAATTCACAACCCTCGACCAAGTAGTCAGGGAAACTAGTCTAAAGCTAGCTATGAAAGCTACTGGATTGAGTCAATCAAATATAATACACAACTGGATTAAATTTACTGAAAAGTTTTTATTTTTATTATACTAAATTAGTAGATTATTTTTTGCCAGTATAAATTACTTTACAAACGAGAAAACATGATATTAGAGAGTACTAAGGGGTAGCAGCGACTTTGGCTGTGCCCCTGGCATTGCTGATGTCCACGGCCATAAGCTCGTCAACCTTTTTTTTTTTTTTTTTTATTGCTTAGATGTGTGGACGAGCTCACAGCCCATCTGGTGTTAAGTGGTTACTGGAGCCCATAGACATCTACAGCGTAAATGCGCCACACACCTTGAGATATAAGTTCTAAGATCTCAGTATAGTTACAACGGCTGCCCCACCCTTCAAACCGAAACGCATTATTGCTTCACGGCAGAAATAGGCGGGGCGGTGGTACCTACCCGTGCGGACTCAGAAGAGGTCCTACCACCAGTAAAAAAAACCTGCAAGGTATACAAAAAACAGTAGTGACAACTTACCAAAGAAGACAAAAAGTGACACAATTAAAATATGCTTTGCCCAAGCGTGTATATATAGAATCATAATCACAATACAAGATAAATAAATCATGTAAAATTCAATTTAAATTTCTAATTTCTAATTATTTATTTTTAGGTGTGCAACAAGATCTTCGGTAACGCATCTGCCTTAGCCAAACACAAACTAACGCATAGCGACGAAAGGAAATACGTCTGCATCACATGCGCGAAGGCTTTCAAGAGACAAGATCATCTGTAAGTCAACTAATGGTTTTTTTCTTCCTATAAGTTAGCGTAGCGTCCGATGCATGAAGTAGTGGAGACAATTATCGTAGCGTAAGTACTGCTCTTGCTGAGACCAGTGTTAGCAACGCCTCATGGTTTGAGCCCCGAGAGCTCACCTACACGTTAGGGTTACGCTGACATAGCCTCTCAAGGCTATCAGATTAACTAGGAACAAAAACAACGTAAGTATTGAGACATTGGATTATGTTTTTCAGATTTGACAATCATTTATTCATACTCTAATTAGAATATCAGTTGTCTTAGAAATAAGAACCTTGAGACATAAGTTCTAAGACATGAATGTAAAACAACTGTACCACTCTTAAAACCGGACCGCATTACTGCTACAGTTGGCGGCGAAAGTAAGTAGGGTAGGACACCCTACCATGAGCGACTGCGAAAATTATGTTATTTCCAATTTTGATTTTTTACACAATGCTATTCATTCATAACAGAACTCATTCGTTGTTAAGGACGTATCCAGTCGCGGTTCTCGCCGAACCCGTCGCTTGTGACGAAAGGGCTCGACGAGTAAACTAACCCATAGACACAGCTCACTGAGTTTCTCGCTGATTTTCTTAGTGGGTCGCGTTTCCGATCCGGTGGTAGATTCTGCGAAGCACTGCTCTTGCTAGGGCCAGTACTAGCAACGATCCCGGTTTGAGCCCCGTGAGCTCACCTACATGTCAAGGCGAAGCTGAAATAGCCTCTCAAGGCTATCAGCATAGGTAAGAAAAAAGAGAAAAAAACAGGACGTACCTATTTCTTTAGACTGTACATCAGCGACTATGAAAATTATATTGAATCCAATTTTGTTTTTTATTTGGCAATATTATTACTTCATAATAGAAGTCATTCGTAAACATGCGTTAAGGACGTATTTCTTTAGAAAAAATGGTACCTGCGTGCGGGTTTTGAACACCGACATAGTCACATCGCTGGATATGAGTACACCGGCCGTCTTATCCTTTAGGCTACAAGTCATCGTTGTGATAACACAAAGTTCGAGACGAACTACAATTTCATAAACGCTTTCTTAAGCTTCTTTCTTCTTGCTAAATTAAATAAAATACCAATTATTAAGAAACATATCTGAAATACATACGAGAAATTATTACTTTTAAATTGTTTCTGATATTTATATTTCACCGTATAAAGTACTGAATTGTATCTGTGGATACTGTTTGCAAATTAATATTTTCCACTGATCAGTGAAAACTATTTTCAAAACAAAATATTTATATATTCGAACTTCGAAATATGATGTGCGTGTACTGTATGTAATTAATTCCCCCTTTGTGTTTGTTAAATTTGTTTAACGAATATCGGCGAATAATTTCGCTCATTCGTTCACTATATGAAATAATTATGTGAAGTAGTATTTAAATAACAGACTCGAATATTCGGCTTAACAAAATTTTTCGTTTATATTTTGTTTACTGTAATGAGCAGACGAACTCACAGATCTTCTGACATAAAGCGATTACAAGAGCCCTTATGCACTATCTCAAATGGTAGGACCTCTTGTGAGTCCGCGCGGGTGGGTACCACCACCCCGCCTATTTCTGCCGTGAAGCAGTAATGCGTTTCGGTTTGAAGGGTGGGCCAGCCGTTGTAACTATACTGAGACCTTAGAACTTATATCTCAAGGTGTGTGGCGCATTTACATTGTAGATGTCTATGGGCTCCAGTAATCACTTAACACCAGGTGGGCTGTGAACTCATCCACCCATCTAAGCAATAAATTAAAAAAACGTGAACACCGGTGAGAATGTAGAGGCATAAAATTAAAGTTGGAATAACATAAGAACCTTCCAAACCTTTAAAGTACACCATTCAAACTGTCAAAACTTCGAAGAGTAATTTTCGCTATCGAGTCCATTGGTCCAGTCCCTTTGGGATGGCCGTGTGTGTGGCCTTAGTGTTGACCGCTGTCGCTCCTCATACCCCTCACGATTTCTGCCCCGGGCAGATCTTGAACTTCCGGGCAAGAGTTCCGCAGGCGAGTAAGTTTAGTTAGCCATTTTGGCAGTCCCATATACCTCGCGCGCCCCAATAGCGTCTGATATTCAGCACCCGGGTAACAAAAAAGTAAAAGAATTTAAGTCCCGGAATAATCGCATCACCACACGCTACGACTATACCAGTGCTTAATGCGACCTTTTAAAACGTTCCAACTGCATACAAATTTGAGTTAATTTTTACGCTATCGAGAACGTTAAAAAAACTCACACGAAACAGACAGACGTCTTATCTGTGTATTGGACTGCGAATTATTCATAAAACTAAACATGACACAAAAGTAACCACCAAGTAGAAGAACCACGAGTAGAATTTAAATTCAAGAAAATTTTTTTGAAGTGAAACTTCTTTAGAATCGTTGTGATTTCAAACTCGATGAAACGAAAATATTAGTCCATAGAGACACAAACACATAAATGTATAGGATTCAGCCGGCGAGAGAATGAGATAGAACACATTAGACGTTCTCAGTGTAGTGTTTTTTTGAATACAGCGCCATCTATGAGATTTTTAATAATAACGTGTGTATGAAATCTCTTGTAGTGAATTTTAATTTAGGATTATACGTGAAGTTAAAATATCAATTCACAGAGGGCGCTACCACATACTATAAAATATGATTTACAATTATTTACTAATGACAAAATTTTACATATACTTAAACGTTTAGGATAATAGTATTTTAATTTTTGAAGGTTTCACTTCTACCACGTATGAATTGCACGCATATATATTTTTTTGTTAATTGTTTATCCAAATGCGACGTTTTTGCAGTAACGGTCACATGTTGACACATCGAAACAAGAAGCCATACGAATGTAAAGCGGACGGATGTGGGAAATCATACTGCGATGCTCGCTCCCTACGGCGGCACACGGAGAACCATCACCACCCACCGGCAGACGGTGAGCTCATTTCATATAAATAAACTGTAAAACAAATGTCTGTTATTTTACTAAACTGTACTAAATAAAAGCTCTTTATTCGCCGATTATATGTTCCGTTAATATGCCGCGAATACAGAATCCATGGATATGGGATGGTTATGGTACAAAGGATATTCGATTGGATACTTACATACTGGAATCTTTTTTATAAATGTGCATGTACCAATGTACCAATTAAATCCGCGAATAATAAAATCTTTAGCCGGGAATATAGAAATTGGCCTAACTAACTAACTAACTAATCCACGAATAGTGAAAAATGTGAATAGTGTAAATGAAGGAAGCGTGAATAAGGAGCTTTTACTGTACTCATTATTTTAGTATCAAAAACTACGACTGGATGTTATGATACTTTTGCTCAAACATTGTTACACAGAAAACGTATCGGAGCGTGCCCTTTATTGTTTCTACGTCTCGCAACGACTGTAGAAACTGTATAATTTCCCTTTAATATAGTAATATATAATGATAAATTTTACGATTACGATACGAAAATATTTACAAATGCTTTTTTTACTTATGTAAAGAAATAACTTTATTCCAAATTACAATATACGAGATAGGCCACTTTTTTTAAGATTGGATCAAGAAAATCAACGATAAATGGAATTGAAACGCATCTTTACTGCAATCTGCAATTTTATTCACAACTAGCGACCCGCCCTCGCTTCGCTTCGGAAACATTAAATTTTATCATTAAAGTTATGTCCCGTCGTACCGCGGGTGACGCCGCGGGGCAAAGCTAGTCTAAAAAAGTAAAGCCTAGATTACTCCTTATATCATCAGCAGTGAAAGTCCCGTCAAAATCGGTCCAGCTGTTCCAGAGATTAGCCGGAACAAACAGACAGACAGACAAAAATTGTAAAAAATGCTATTTTGGTGTATGTACCTACCGTATGATATATATTCATATGCATGTAGTAAAAAGCGGTTATTTCAATATTACAAACAGACACTCCAATTTTATTTATATGTATAGATTATAATGGCGAAAAAGGCTACATCACCTGGTCATTTCGCCGTAGCCCATTGTCAACATCTCTTTATGTGTACCGTCTTACTCGTCAAACGAGAACAAATATTGATCTAGTTTTTCTACTTTTAGGTAAAAACAGCAACAGCTCAATCGACAATGACCGAGAACCGAACTCACAGCGCGTTTCATCTCCAATATCACCGGGACGCAGCCAACCTCCGCATTCCGATGTAAGTATTCACGTGAAAAAACATTCTAGAAAAATAATGTAAGCAAACGTTTTGGCATATCAATCTTTCGTGAAAACACACTCCAAAAAAAATTGCGTTCGAATTCGTGTACTCATTTATTTATTTGGCATTTATATATTTACATTTATCATTTATATATATTTTATATATTATTTACGAGGCGATGGTTTGCTACTCACCTCGGCCACTGATGTGACGGACGTTTACCGGAAAGTGAATACAAGCGGTTTCTATGCACTAGCCTTGCATAACATGTACAAAAACATTTTTTTTTATGATTGAAAAATTACTGGTGGCCCGGAGGCCTTTCCAGTTTCACTAGGACAGGTGGGCGAGCAAAGGCTCAGCCAGGAGGGGTGGGATTTGCTAACAACTGCCCGAGCGCCTCCAAAAGATACCTAACAACTCAAGTACAAAATTTATATTAATGTTCATGCTCTTTGATTGTGTCAAAGTCAAACAAGCTTCGTACATTGATTTTATTATTCATACGTTTGTAATCCAGCTGACATTTCAACACGGTATACCAATCTTGATGATATAATAATAATAATAATGTTTTTATTGCAAGTAACCATGACTCATATAAATTGTTAATAAGACTTAGACCTATGTTAGTAGTTATATTTACATCACAATGAATTACTGTCGTAACATCCCATGGGAGATGACACCACAGCGACCCATGTATACACAGTCCAGCCTGCTTGCGATCATGCTCAGGATACTGTTGGAGCTGGCTCTCACTCTGCTTACCAGAGATGCACACCTCTTACGCATGGTAGCGTAAAAACAATCTATGTGCGTATATATATTCCCGTTATAGATTTTTCATTTTTATTTATTTACTAGCTGACCCGGCAGACTTCGTAGTGCCTCAATGCCTATTTACCTTTTAAGCCTTCCCTGGACTTCCACAAATAATTCAAGACCAAAATTAGCCAAATCGGTCCAGCCGTTCTCGAGTTTTAGCGAGACTAACGAACAGCAACTCATTTTTATATATATAGATTTCTGTTTTAAATGTTTCTGATTACTACTTTTAAAACAGGCCCATCTTTTTCCAGTTTCCTATGTCAGTATATACAATAAAAACTCTTTATTCGCGGTGTATATGTCCTGTAAATATTCCACGAATACAGATACCGTGAATATGGAAAGGCACGTTTACAAAGGAAATTCGGTTGGAAGGTTGGAGCGCGGGAACCCCCCTACTCTGACCGGGTTTTGACCCCGGACGGAGATCGGACGTCGGGTGTAAGAGTGCAGGGGAGTCGTTTAGTGCGGTAGGGCCCTAAAATTCCTTGGGCCCTGCGGTCTGCTCCCAACACCTTGTAGATCATCAAGTCCCACTGTCCCACTTACCCCGCGCGCCCCCTAAGCACAGGGACCTGGTAGGAGGTTCGGGCACCGGCCCGAAAGAAAAAAAGGTAACGATTAGATCCGCCAATGAATAATTCTTTAGTTGCGATTATAGGAATTAGGTCGCATATTTTTAATCCGCGTATAATGAAAGCGCGAATGAAGGCAACGCGAATAAGGAGCTTTTACTGTATTGAATAAACAGTAAGATTCCTTTTTCAATCATTGTGTTGCGCACCTAAAAAATTTAAAGTAAAATAAGCGAGCGTTTCATAGTTAATGTTAGACTCATTAATCTAGCTTTTTATACTTAGCATTCTGGCACCGCTCCAGCTGGCCGCACACGTTAAATTCAGATCCCGCGGACCCCTTATTAATTAACCAATTAGCCTCGATCCTGTTGTGTGTGCTCTTTTAATTTCGTCGACCGCCAAGCGAAACGAAAAAGTTTCCGAAATCCAATGTTTATCTTAATCCGTTTTATTCAATACGTCCGTCGGCGTCGACTGAGCTTTCACGAACGCTTTTCCACTCGCCTATTTTTATTTATAACGTGAAAAGTATATTTTTAATGTACGTACATTCTAAGCAATGTCTGATCTAAAATGATGATACTTCCTCTATCAAAAAACTAAAAAAATACGCTTTTATAGAAAATCCAACTAAAAAATTCGAAAATGAATTTTAATAAATTTGAATTAAAAATAGTGTAAGAAAAAATTATTTTATTGTTTTAGTTGAATTTAATTATTTTAATTTTTTGTTTTTTATTTTTCAAAAATTTCATCTGAATCAGTAGGTACCTTATCCGAGAAATAGGTGATCGACGTGCCTGGTAGTTTCCCTTCTTGGTCTTGACGCAGACACTCCGGGTCTCAGGAAAACAAAAAATCGCTAATCCTGATTATCCTAGTAAGGATAACGGATCAAATTGTTTAAAATATTGAATTGACATCGGTCCTTAATAAGTATGCCAAAATTCGAGTTAATCCGACGTTTTAAAGGAGTCAAAATCATGTTCAAAGATTCCGTTACATACTAACATAATATGTATGAAGCTAATAAAAGCGTATTAAAATACACAGCCCTGGCCATTTTTTGTTTTTTTTTTATTGCTTAGATGGGTAGACGAGCTCACAGCCCACCTGGTGTTATGTGGTTACTGGAGCCCATGGACATCTACAACGTAAATGCGCCACCCACCTTGAGATATAAGTTCTAAGATCTCAGTATAGTTACAACGGCTGCCCGACCCTTCAAACCGAAACGCATTACTGCATCACGGCAGAAATAGGCAGGGCGGTGGTACCTACCCGCGCGAACTCACAACAGGTCCTACCACCAGTAATTACGCAAATTATAATTTTGCGGGTTTCACTTTTATTACACGATGTTATTCCTTCACCGTGGAAGTCAATCGTGAACATTTGTTGAGTACGTATTTCATCAGAAAAATTGGTACCCGAATGCGGGATTCGAACACCGGTGCATCGCTTCAACACGAATGCACCGGACGTCTAATCTTTTAGGCCACGACGACTTCATTCTTATTATTCGACTTATTTCTTCAAATCTAACTTGTTTGTATTTGTATTATTGCAATTAAAATATACGAAATTACTCACGAGCGGCAACTAAATATCATGTAACTTTAAAACTAGGTCCTACCACCAGTAAAAATTCATTTTCGAACTAGTTACTGTATTAGTAGTGCTGTGGTAGACATAACTTGGTAGATTAAAGGTAGGAGCGCTCGACATTGACGGTAATTGTCCTGACGCATGAGAACATTGAAATTTGCAGTAGCGACTTTTTGATTAATGAGAAAAATATATACATATATAATATTTCAATTTTTATTTCCCTGTTCACTCATCCCACATCTGATTTCAGAGAAAATTTGTTTTTCGCTTATTGTGAGATTCGTAAATCCCCACTTTGACTTTGAGATTGTTGTAGTCTATGCTTTGCTGATAACTAGTGGGATAGGTTCACGTTGCTAGTGAAATTAAGAACATCCTATTTACGTCTACTACGTTTGAGAAACACTGAAAATTAAGCTTTCACTAGTTACGTTAGTATTGTTTTTTGAACTACGTCTACATGTAAATTTATGGCAATAGTAAATTGTAGACAGATGCTGGTTTTCGTCTGCTAACGTTCCGTACATTTCGGAAGTTGGAACGTAACTATTGTCGCTCTTAGATACGTCTTCGTATGATCCCTGTTAAGCTTTAACGTTCACAGCCACAACAGTTGGAGACAAAAGGAACTTGTCTAATACTGCAAGTCGGTGTTGCCAGCGTCTCTGAAGTTTTTTAATTTTAATATTTTTATTTTACAATTTAATATTTAAATTTTATAAATTATTTTAATATATTTTATTTTATTACATAAATGGTTGAAGGGGTTACGGCTCACTTGATATTGAGCATTTATGACATGGGCATTAGAATATAAATGCGATCATCCAGATGAAAACTCTATGCTTCTATTATGTTGTCATAGCATCTTTCCAACCCTTCAAATTCGAACGTATACTCAGTGGACAGTCAGTAATTTAAACTGTTTCAGGGCAAGCTTAGACAGTTTTGTTGTCTTAATGGAAATTTCGGTTAAGTTGTAATTAAGTGTTTTATTTTCGTACCGTATAACTTAAGCTGGCGCATGCACTCAAAGCAAGCATTCATTTGGTTTGATAAAAATCTATCAAGATTTTCAGTCCAATTATTTACGAAGTGGGATTTTTTTTTCTCGAATATCTGTGTATACCAAATTCTCATCTTGCAGTCGAGCAACGGATCGGAAAAGTCAAGCGCGGCTACAAGCGGCAGCGGGGGCGGGAGCGATAGTCCACCGTGTACCCCGCCGACACCAGTCACTCCGCCCGTAAAACAAAAGACCAAAGCCGCAACCAAGCCGAAATCTTGTAATGCAGTAAGTATTGTATATGTACATATGCCCAGTTGTAATATAGTCTTATTTAACTGCTTAAAATGTTTCTGTCTCCCAACTTTTTTTTTGGAACGAAGTTCCTTATCGCGCGTTGTGAAAGGGGGCTAGACGGAAAAAATTCTTACGAAAAGTTGTCACGACACTTTTTAGATCCGTCATTCTGACCAATCAACGTGTAGGCGCTTATCGCGTAACATTGCTCGTATCCGATTGGTCCGCGTAATGAGTACAGTTTCTCGAGATAGCGTTTCAACAATAGTAATTTAGTTCATAGNCGCGTTGTGAAAGGGGGCTAGACGGAAAAAATTCTTACGAAAAGTTGTCACGACACTTTTTAGATCCGTCATTCTGACCAATCAACGTGTAGGCGCTTATCGCGTAACATTGCTCGTATCCGATTGGTCCGCGTAATGAGTACAGTTTCTCGAGATAGCGTTTCAACAATAGTAATTTAGTTCATAGTATTGTTTTTTTCTTCTTCATAATGCCGTAATTTATTATTATAACTAAAAAAAAAAATTACAATTCCTTCACTAATTAATCGAAAGGAACTTCGTTCCATCCGGGTGTCCCTTGACACCTCTGAAGTTTTTTATTTATTTACATCGAAAAAAAATTTATAATAAATAAAGTAATCATATTTTATGTTTCCATAATTGTATAAACGAGCAAAACAGTGGTTGGTGTCTACTCGTCTGAGCTCAGAAGACGCCTTCCCATTACCAATTACGTAATGGTATAAATTTGACGGCTTTTAATTTCATTGCGCCATGTTATTTCTTCAACGTGGAATTCGTTGATGAAGAAATATTACGTACTTTGAAAAAATTTGAACTGACTGCGGAAATTAAACACGGACACAGTCGCATCACTCGATACGAGTATATATTTTTATTATATTTTTTTATTGCTAGGTTTTTTTTTATTGCCTAGATGTGTGGACGAGCTCACAGCCCACCTGGTGTTAAGTGGTTACTGGAACCCATAGATATCTACAACGTAAATGCGCTACACATCTTGAGATATAAGTTCTAAGATCTCAGTATAGTTACAACTGCTGTCCCTTCAAACCGAAACGCATTACTGCTTCACGGCAGAAAATAGGCGGGGCGGTGGTACCTACCCGTGCGGACTCACAAGATGTCCTACCACCAGGTTAGGTTGCTATGTACGTCTTATCCTTGAAACCACGACCAATTTGACAAAATAAAACGGATATCTTGATTATTAAATATGTAAATCCTATATTCTATTTCACTTTATTGAAAAACTGAGAAACCAGTTTTGTACATTAAAAGAAATAATAAATTATTAAGTAAAATCAAAATATAAATGAGCAATGGGCCGCCCTGTTTCAATAAAAAACGTTTATTATGCAAGAAATCATAGTTGGGTGCCTTATAATTCTTTCCGAAATATTTTTGAGGAAAGTTGCATCATAAGATTCGACGATCACCGTCGCCCTGACACTAGCTCACTCCTGAATCGGACGGCATGTGATAGAATGATATCTTGAATCGCTCTGTGATTAGATTCTGTATTGTACCTACTGGGTGGCTAGTTGTAGTGAGTGAAAGAGACATCCTATGATTAAATGCATATTTTATCCTCTTCAAGCAATTTATAAGTACATTGACGCCTATATATTTAATTCTACGCTAAATGACCACATATTTGGACTTTTTCTACTTCACTATAATATCTTTGTAATTTTTTTCTTATCAATATAATTTTCAATATAAAATGAACGAATAGCAATAAAGAATAAATGAAAGTAAAGTAAAAAAATCGCCCATGAAGTGGTTATAGAACATGCAACATAATAGTCAGACCAGTATCTGCTCACATCCAAAAGTTCAGAAAATCAATACGACCGCTATTGGTGAATCCGGCACAAAATCAATTCAGTTTATATTAAGTAAGCACACTTCGAACTGTTACCGAGACCGCGAAGAATGGCGACTAATAAATCTAGAGCTTTAGCGGTAGAAGTCTACGGATCGCACATTTTAACACCGATAAACGAGTTGAATCTGGTTAAAGCACAACTTACGGGCTCGAATCGCGAGGATTGGTTATCTTAAGAGAATAAATTAACCGATTTCGGTCATTGTCTTATTGCCCAGATAGGCGAGTTCACATTCCATGTGATGTTAAATTGTTTTTTTTTAAAGGGATTTTATGACCTGGTAACTAAGACCTTTAAGTCGTGTCTTATTTTTATTTTAATTCTTATTTTCATGAAAATGGAGTGAAATGAAATGAAATGAAGATGATTAATTTGAGACATCAATCAACTGGGATGAAATTAAAGGAAATGAGATGATATGATATGGGATGACATATAATCTCAGTAAAATGGAAGTCATTTACTGAGACTTTTTCAGGACTTTTTGGAGGATCCCGAGAAGTTACATTCCGCGGCTCTGTTTCATTTTCCCATATTTGTGCACTTTCACAGATACTAAACAGTTAATAAACCACCGTTACTACACATTTAAACCTGAAGAAACACTAAATAGACAAAATAAAACAAATCACAAAACTTCACTCCTCGCGTTCCGCCAAATAGTCCATGTTAAATTGTTATTAAAGCCCATAGATGTGTTAACGTGAATGCCAAAACCAACCTTGAGACCTTTTTAGGCAGCGGCTTGACTCTGCCCTTGGCATTGCTGAAGTCTATGGGTGACGGTAACCACTCACCATCAGGTGGGCCGTATACTCGTCAGCCTACAAGGGCAATAGAAAAAATAAAAACACATGAGGTTGAAAACTCAAATGTGCTGTAAAGCAGTTCTATTCTTCAAGCCGGAACACATGACTGCTTCACGGCAAAAATAGACAGTATGGTGGTACCTGGTCATGGGGGCTTTTGTTACGCCCTACCACTTGTAAATGTCTTTTGGTGTGCACAGTGCGCTGGTATTATTACCCCACCACCGGAAAACTGCTGCTCCTTTCTGATTCATCGAGGATTCATCTTTTAATCAGATTTTCAGTTTTTATTATTTAGAGCAGTAACGAATCAATACATATCATACTATTGTATTAGGAAAACATCGAGATAAAGGACAAGTAATCTCCTTTAGGATTCCTGAATATCGAAACTTTGAATCAACACTCCACTTGTCAAGCTGAGTGTAAAGTTTGTATCAATTGCACGTTTTAATTTGAAAAATAAATAATAAATATTTACTAACAATCAAGCCACGTTAACTGGTCCCGTGATAAGTTCGTAAAGAACTTGTGTTACAGGTACCAGATAACGGATATAAATGTAAGATTTTTATTATACACATACATATATTTAATATACATCCATAACCCTGGAAAAGACATTTATATTTATCATACAAATATCTTCCCTTGGCGGGATTCGAAACCGCGACCCCCTTGTGTAGTGACCATGTCACTTACCACTACACCAGACGGCCGTTGAATAGTGTTAAAAAATGTATAAACTTTAATTTTCTTAAACATTGTTCGGATTTAAAAATGAATCAATTTATCAATCCCACCGTGACGTATAAACAATCATTTTCTCCCAAAGGAATCGGTTAATTTTTGTTAGCAAAACAAAAGACAAAAATTTTGTAACTGCAAGTTAGAAACTTCATTCCGCTGGAAACAGCTACGTTAATAATTTCGTAGCAGAACGTAGCTGGCGTAGCACGAGTGGGCGTAGCGCGTCGTAGCTGACAAGTATTGTTGAACAAGGATAAGTTAGATTTGCCTACGTCGTTACTTGCAGATTAAACTTGGCTTGTGCTACATTCGTGTTTCTTGTTATTACATCGGATACGGCATAACTTAGACTCAAACGTGAATCTTGTATTTACTTGAAATTTACTTAGTAGTAGATACACTTCCCATATTTGACTTTTGCCTTAACCCAAAAACGGTAGAACGTTCTAAAATTATTCCAAAAGAGAACGATCTTTATTATTTTATTAAAAAACTAAATGACCCGGCAGACTTCGTAGTGCCTCAATCGGTAAATAAAAGACCTAAACTTTTGTATAAAATAAACTTAAAACAAACCAAAGGAATCCGTCCGACGGGTTACACATCAAAGGAAAAACAAAATTGTTATTTTTATTTAATTCCGAGCAAGTTCATATTTATCTTTTAAACCTTCTCTGAACTTCCACAAATAATTCAAGACCCAAATTACCCAATCGCGCCGTTCTCGAATTTTAGCGAGACAAACGAACAGCAATTCATTTTTATATATATATAGATTTAGACGCATTCGTATAAAACAAAACAGGTGTCGCAATCACATTGATATATCTAGTCTACAATGTTCTCTAATTTAAATCGCAAATTTCGAGCACCGCAATTGAACCGTGGGAAAGACGCCGCCGCGATTCTTATGTTAATACCAATAAGTTTGGTCATACTGCGAAACGGTCAGTGAATTAATTCGCCCTTTGTGGGGCCATAATAATCTCGACGCATCGCGACACCCCTACTATTGGTCAATGAGAAACTTATGTAAGCATAATGACATCTAAGTTTGATTTCAATCTGTGATATCGCCTGTTTGCTTTGCTAATTACATAGCTTAGGGGCTTAGGTTACATTTCTGGTCGAAGTCAGTATCTTTGTTAGAGATCGGCTTTGATTGTGCTTTCCGTTATCTTGCATCTCATGTTTTTAGTATAAAACACTCATGTTTTAGTATATTTAAATAGAACCAATAACAGAAAATCCAGTTTGGTCACGTTAAATCTGGCAACATTATTTTTAAAATCACATCGAACATCCTAAATTACGATTTATTGACTATTCGACTATCAATTCGTATTACCATTTTAAATTCGGAATTCGCATGAAAACTTTGCTTCAGTCCAAGAGAAACTCGTATGTAGTTTAACTAAGTAGGGGTAACTAACTTTAAAGTAGGGGAGCAACAACTTGCGAATTCGAATGGAATTCGTCCACCTGTTTCCTGCAGACCCTATCCATAACGGAGA